ATATTCCAGAAGGAAATTACATATTGCTCTCTGTTTTTACTCAACTCCTTTTCACTTTAAAAGTGGACCCTTTGAAGCAGCCTTTTTCTTACCTCAGAATCTGACATGAATAATTGTTTAATTGCCTTTTGGTCTACACAAGATAAGGAATCATGTCTCAAAACTGTATAATTCTCTTAACTAAACAATAGCTGAGCCACCCAGAACACTTTTCAAATAAAGAAATGAATTCTTCACATGTTAAACATTTTACTCTTTTCAAAGTGCTTTGCTCTGTATTATTTTGTTAAATTGGATAGTGTACATGACAGTGCTATGGAAGTTGTATCACATGACAAACTAGTAAGATGTTAGTACAGTTATCAATTTGATTTTCCATGTAGGAAACTGAGGCTCTGAGAAGAGAAGTTACAGCCCTGAGTCATGGCAGTTCAAGTAGGTCAGACCGTGGTCCGTTTTCTCACCCTGGGTGTGCTGTCTCCTCTGCAGAGGGTGCCTCCTGCCATGGAGCCTCCCCAGCGGAGGCCAAGACCACCATCAGGGGCTTCCCAGAGGGTGAGGCCTGAGGCAGGGCGCTCAGGGGTGTTCCCTGATCTGGGTTACCTGGCACTGACCCTGGCACATCTCCCTTCAACGGCGTCAGGCAGTGACTTGCCTTTTTATCTTGTTCAGTCGCCAACAATCAGTCTTCTGCAGATTTCTTCCCCCAAGCTGTGGCAGAGGAATTGTCACATGCCCTAGATTTAAAAAAGATACAGGTTGCTTTTTCTTAAAAAAAAAAAAAAATAGTATCTCTGAAATAACCTCACAACCATTAGCATATTTTTAAAAAGGTGTTAGTGAATCCTCATGATGGATGTTTAGCTTCAAGTGTGTTAGCAGATGACCTGGGCCAGCTCCTTCAGTGGAGGCAGAAACCACTGGGGAGTACCCACCACCCCCCGGCCCCTCACCAGGATGGAGCCCACCCTGGGAGACAGCAGGATGCAGGGTGAGGAAGCGTCCCAAGACCAGAGAACCCCATACGGGGTGTGGGGCAGCCTGAGAGAGGGGGCAGGACACCCGTGGTGAGAGCTGAAGGGAGTCCATGGAGTAAAAAGGCACCTCACGGGGAATCAGAGAAGAAATTTACAAATCATATATCTAGTGAGGGATTTAAATCCAGAATATGTAAAGAAATCCTACAGCTCAACAACCCAAATAAAACATGGGCAAAGGACTCATATAGACAATTCTCCAAAGATATATGAATGGCCAGTAGCCCATGAAAAAATGCTTAGCATTACTAATCCTCATGGAAAAGCAAATCGGAACTACAGTGAGATACCACTTCACATCCATTAGGGTGACTATCACCAAAAAAATACAACAAAATAACAGGTGTTGGATGAGGAGAACTGGAACCCTTGCACATTGCTGGTGGGAATGCAAAATGGTGCAGCTGCTGTGGGAGAGGATTTGCTGGTTCTCCAAGAAATTAAACATAGAATTACCACATAAACCAGCCATTCTATAT